TATCAAAATATATCTCAGATCCGAGTTTGCTACAAGGTATTATTTCAGAATCAACCAGGACGAATAAGCAAGGTCAACAAGTTCTTCATAAATTGTAGTCCCAATGCTATATTCAATGTCTACACTATTTAGCAATTTATTTTTTGTATGTATTGTATATAATCTATTTATGTCTAATATATGTAACTAAGTTTTTGTTTAGCTTTTCTAAAACCCAACTGTAAATTTTAAATTTTAAATGTTATAACGTTTCTTTATATATTTGGAAAAGTTAGATGAATTATTTACCACTTCCATACAATCCGTTCTACAGAATTGCTTGAGAATTTAATTCCAACGGACCGAGGGTTTACTATCTTTATGACATTTTTAGTGTAAGTTGGGCCGAGGTATTTGTAAGAAATCCCAAACATACATAATATTCAAAAATACATTCCATATACACATAAATTAACTTCACCGAATCGTTCGTGCCGTGGCACGGGTTACTACCTAGTTTGTAATTAAATAGGAAATGCTACTAAACAAACTAACCAATAAACAACTTCTTTAATGAAGAATACATACTCCCAAATAACTTTACAATAAACATACCTTATGTCAAATTATACAATTATACTATGAAAAATAAATAAAAACTTTTTACCGATGTTCATTTAACATAGAATTAGTTATAGAACCCGCGACAAAACAATACAAAACAAACCCCCGACAATACTAATAAAACACCACATTGACAAAACATTAACAACCTATACTGTATATGAAACAAAGTATGTTTAGAAATAGTAAATGGGAAAAAAAAACACAAACAACATACCTGCGGTGTACACTGCGGGTTCAGACCTAGTTAAACATACAAAAATATAGAGTGAATGACACAATAACCTACTTTATGTATATAAATTTGCCAAAAAACATACTTTTAGCTATAGGTGTACTTTCTCTGTAACTTTCATATTATTGAAAATATTTTTAGACATTTTTGCCCTTGAAGTAGTAGAGAACGAAACAAAGAGAAACTGACTTTTTTTTTGTTTTTAATCATTTTTATATCTTTCTTCTTCTCTCTTACTTTTTATCTGTCTTTTCTTTATTATTTTCATTTTAGCTTGTTATCCTCAAAAGTTATCTAACTATTTTTATACCATACGTTGTGTTTATATTTTTCTTTACATTTCAAGATGCATATTGCTATATTTTAGATTTATTATAATATTACACACTATCCATTTCTAGTTGAACATATGTTCAGTGATAAGTGGATGATCAGTTACAGTATTGATTATGTTTTATTCTATTCGTATTTATAATTACTATGTGTTTAGTAATATTAAAACATACTAAAACCTATTTCATAATAAAATTTGTGATTTGGTAAAAAATCATAAATAAGTATCAAACAAACATCAGATGTATCAAACAAACATCTTAACCCCTAAACCTTAAACTGTATACCCTAACCCCTAAACCCTAAACCTTAAAGTCTAATTCCAAAACATGAAGTTCTTAACTCTTATCGACTCAATAGCTTCCTATGGATTTGAAGGTGGAACTAGGGAACCTAAACCCTAAATCCTAAATCATATACCTTTAACCCTTAAGCCCTAAACCCTAAAATCTAATCTTAAACACTAAACTCTAAACATAAACCATGGATCTCAAACCTTAACCCTTATCCATTTTAATTTAACTCTAAAACCAAAAGCATAAATCATATACTACATTCTAACCTCCAAATATTTTAATGAACATCTAAGCATATCCACACTATTGTAACTACATGGATATATGTGGTCAAGGTATCTAGGTGAAGAGAGAAACAATGGAATGTGAAAATTAAGCTAACAAAAAAATATTGGAAGATGAAAACGAAGCTAGAGTGAAAGTAAATAAATTATTTCAAAAAGGTAGAAAGAGAGGCATCGTCGAAGTATGAAATTGCTCTACAATTGCTAAAACAAGTACACAACATGTCCTTAAACCTTAAATCCTAAATCCAACCACTAAATCCTAAACCATAAACACTAAAATCTAAACTTAAAACCAAAAGCTAAACCCAAAAACCAAAACAATAACACTAGACCCTAAAATCTAAAGCAAAACCAAAAGCAAAACCCTAAAACAACAACAACAACACTAGACTCTAAAATCTAAGCCCTAAACTGAACGAAACTATGAACTATAAATCTTAGACACTAAAGAATTTGAATAACCGACTTTATCAAACAAACATCTTAACCCCTAAACCTTGAACTATAAATCTTTGGCAAATTTGTGATTTGGTGAAAAAATAATAAATAAGTATCAAACAAACATCTTAACCCCTAAACCTTAAACTGTATACCCTAACCCATAAACCCTAAACCTTAAATCCCAATTCCAAAATATGAAGTTCTTAACTCTTATCGACTCAATAGCTTCATATGGATTTTAAGCTGCAACAAGGGAACCTAAAACCTAAATCCTATATCATATACCTTTAACCCTAAGCCTTAAAATATAATCTTAAACACTAAACTCTAAACATAAACCATGAATCTCAAAGCTTAACCCTTATCCAATTTAATTTAACTCTAAAACCATAAACATAAATCATACACTACATTTTAACCTCCAAATATTTTAATGAACATCCAAGCATATCCACACTAATGTAACCACATGGATATATGTGGTCAAGGTATCTAGGTGAAAAGAGAAACTATGGAATATGAAAATGAGCAATACTTGGGTTCACCCCTAGGGGTGAACCTGCTCATTCACCCCCTATTAGATTAACCAATTAAAATGAAGTAATTTGTCACGTCATTCTATGTATAAAAATAAATCAAAATTAAAATCATTAAAACATAATAGATTATGGAAAGATATTCTGTAGGATTTTTATTAAGGAAATTATATATTTCGGTTTGGGTTTATAAAAGACTGGTTAGGATTTTAACTAGGTCTGAACCCGCAGTGTTGAGCTAACAAAAAAATATTGGAAGATGAAAACAAAGATAGAGTGAAAGTAAATAAATTATTTCAAAAAGGTAGAAAGAGAGGCATCGTCGAAATATGAAATTGCTCTACAATTGCTAAAACATGTACACAACATGTCTTTAAACCTTAAATCCTAAATCCAACCACTAAATCCTAAACGATAAACACTAAAATCTAAACTTAAAACCAAAAGCTAAACCCAAAAACCAAAACAATAACACTAGACCCTAAAATCTAAGCCCTAAGCTAATCATAAATAAGTATCAAACAAACATCTTAACCCCTGAACCTTAAACCGTATACCCTAACCCCTAAACCCTATACCTTAAATCTCAATTCCAAAACATGAAGTTCTTAACTCTTATCGACTCAATAGCTTCCTATGAATTTAAAGCTGCAACAAGGGAACCTAAACCCTAAATCATATACCTTTAACCCTAAAGCTCTAAACCCTAAACCCTAAACCGTAAAATCTAATCTTAAACACTAAACTCTAAACATAAACCATGAATCTCAAACCTTAATTCTTATCCAATTTAATTTAACTCTAAAACCAAAAGCATAAATCATACACTACATTCTAACCTCCATATATTTTAATAAACATCCAAGCTTACCCACACTAATGTAACCACATGGATATATGTTCAGCTATAAATGAATAGTTTATAATATTTTATTTTATCTAATATATATCAATATGCATCTTAAAATGTAAAGAAAAAATCATCATAATTTATTATGTGTAAGTGAATATATAAGTTTTTAATACCTATCTTAAATGAGAATAACAAAAGAAAAAAAAAGGTGAGAGAGAGAGGGTGATGACACAAATAAAATTAGTTTTACTTTTCTTAAAACAGTGCAAAAAAAGAAAGAGTAAAAGAAAGAGAAGAGAAGTAAGACCAACCACAACAAGAGAGCCCCAAATAAAGCTCTCTCAAATATTTTTAGTATTAATTTTGTGAAATTTGAAATTAAGAGATAGTTTTGGGGATTTTAAATATATACTCCTCCAATGGTAAGAGCCATGAGGTTCTTTAAAAAAATCTATTTATTTTTTAAAAAGACATAAATTTAAAATTATTACATTTCATAAAATTTTAAACAAACATGAGTTTAAAACAAATATGATATAAAAGCATATATAAATATAAAAATCATAAAAATAAATATAAAATTAATTATGTAAATTAATTCCAAATTTCTGCCATATATTCTCGAATATACTTGGTTTAGAAACAAAACTCACAAGAATTCAAACTTCTATTTCAATGAATGATGAAACAAGAGTATGACAATAAAACAATGTGAATAGCCAATATCTACAAGCTACAAGCACGATAACATGGTCACTACAAAAAAAACGATTAAATTAGATCAGTTAAATAGTATCAAAAAAGTAAGTGATAGTATTATAAATCATTTATGCATAAATGAGACAAATATAGACGATTTAGTATTGATTCAATAAATTAACATAAATATATATTGGTAAAATGGGAAAAATGTCATTTAAATCACGAAGATTCAAATTTTGGCCATTTAAATCACGGTTCTGTCATCGTCTCTTTATGTAACACAAGTCTCTTCTTTGAGAGCCCAATCGACCACGTTTCTCTCTAAATAACCCAACTTATCATTTATTTTTAATTCATTTAATCTAAAGAGCCTTTGTTAACAACTCCATTGTGGTTGCTCTAAGTGAACGTGAGAAAAAGATTGGTTGAAGTTAGAGGAGTGTTTTGTCATTTCAAGTGGAAGAAGTATAGAGATAGTAGAAAATATGTTTTTGTGTAATGAAATGTGGAGAAAGTAAGTTATAGTGCAATTGTTTCAAAAATATATTTTTGTGTAATGAAATGTGGAGAAAGTAAGTTATAGTGCAATTGTTTCAAAAATATATGTCCCAAATATTTTTTTTTTTTTAGACAAATATGTCCCACATAGAAAAAAAAAAAAAACTTAAAAAAAAGGGGTTGGTTTGGTTTTGAGGTTCCACCCACCCCACCTACTACTAAATGCACGTCATGTAGCTCTCTCACAGTTCACCTCCACTCTCTCTTTCCCCCAACTCTCACAATTTTCCTCCTCCGACACAAAATCAATGGCTTTGCAAATGCACCAAACCTCCACAGCCTTCACAATCCACTCACCATCCACCACCGATACACTCTCCCCGTTCAGAACCGTATCCATTAATAATAACCGGTTAACGACTAACCGGGGAATCAGATGCAGCGGCGGTGGAGTCGGAGACGCCGGGAAGAAAAAAGCAGTACCTAATTCCAACTATGTAGTTCCTATGGATAAATTCTCATCTTCCTCTTCGATTACTCGGCCTTTGATTGAGATACTTCGTGACCTTAACAAGAAAATTCCTGATAATATTGTTAAGAGCCATGATTCTTCTTCTACTGCTGCTTCTTCTGGCTTTATCCCTTGGTAAGTGGTACTTGAACTAAGTGTTGTTAATTGCTTTGTTTGATCTGATTTGATTTTGTTTTGGGGTTATTTTTATAGGTATCATGCAAATAGGATGCTTAGCTTCTATGCTCCTGGTTGGTGTGGTGAAGTTAGAGATGTTATTTTCTCTGAGAATGGTAATGTTACTGTTGTTTATCGTCTCACTATTCGTGGCTCTGATGGTGAGGTATGTTAGATTACTCAATTTCTCATACTTCTTTTTTCTTTTTAGTTTTTGGGATTGTTCTGTCTAATTTTGTCTGATTTTTGACTAATTTTGTTTGTCTAGTTTTGTGCAAAAGCCAAATCTTTGCATGGTTTTTCTCTTGTTGTCTTTTTCTAGATGTAGTTTTTGAGTTCATGTATTGTATTGATGTATGTTTGTCTTGTTTTGTGAAAAATCAAGTATTTCTAGAGATTGATATCCCAAAATGTTAGGTTTCAATTGTATATGAGTAGTTTAAGGGACATATCTAAGCTGCCACTATCTTATGAATATGTTAGAATTTTGAAGAACTCAAGTTCTTGTGATTTGTGAATTGTGATGCATTGATTAGTGTTATTTTCTTGTCAATAGAAATCTAAGTGTTTGTGCTGCACTGTCAGAGTATTCTGAATCTTTTCCTGTCTTGTGCAAAGTCACATTATAAGCATCTGCATTGGTAGATTGAAAGCAAAGGTAATGTGATCTTGGAAGTTCAAGAACCTAATGACTTTGGTCATCTATGGCAATGCATAAACCAGCAAAATCCCAATTTTTATGACTTTGATGATAGAAGGTAGCAAACCAATATATGTAAAACTGATTACAGGACTGAGTTTTGAAGTTTTATGTAATATGCAGGCACATCGAGAATCAACTGGGACGATAACAACAACTGATGATCACGTTGAGGATCCAGTTACTGCAGCTGAGGAAATAGCATTCTGCAGAGCATGTGCTCGATTTGGTCTCGGCTTATATCTGTACCATGAAGAGTAGGCCAATCATTTTAAGTGCGCGAATCAGTGTTCAGTGACGCCTCATTGTGTTTTCTTTTCTTTTTTGACATTCTTGTGTAATCTAGAGTATCAAAATATGCAATCGGCAAGAGTTTTTATGTATTACCAGACGCTTCCTGTTATATATACATTACTTTAAATAAATAACTTTTATGTTTTGTGTACATGAGTAAAGATTATGGTCTCAGAAGTTTAGGACCCATATTTGAAGCCATCCAAGAAGTGATTGCATCAACGAGCAGTGCAAGATCTTTAGACATATCAGCACGAAGGATCTTCGAGTCCATTCCAAGCGAACCTCCGACTTCTTTAGCCATAGATTCCCACGGAGTCCCAACAGCAATATTTGCCAAAAACTCACTTCCTCGGTTCACTGCTTCTGCCATTCTTGGTGGAACATCCGGAAGAGCCTGTCCAGACAGCAATATAAATCACTTTCCAACATTATCACTTCAGAGAGAAGAAAAAAGAATCTAAATTAATTATAACTATGAGTGTTCAATCCGTTTCAGTTTGAGTTTTCAAACCGCTTGCGGGAATAAATCCTGTTCCACAAGATCATATATCAGCTAAACCTACTATTGATGGTTTGTAAGGTTTGAACTTCACTTCTAAATCAAATATATTCAAAGTTTTCATTTAAAAAATGAAGTTTCAGTTCGGATTCTCAGACTTGAATTGCTGTGTTCAGATTTCTATGAAACCACATTAACCAAATCAAAGACATTTCAGTTTTCAAATCAGTAAGCGAGGTTTTTGCTTTTTCAAGATTGTACACTTTTAATTCTAATGCAGTTTTGGACTATCTACTAGGCAATGGCTCCAATAACTCCTGTAAAAAAGTTTGCCTTAAATTGAAGTCAATACCTGTTGCAGAGGGAGACCATGATCCCCTGGCAATGTACGGAGAGACATATCTAGCTTTGAGCTTATGGATGATTCCACGCCAAGTACCTGAGCTAGGATTGATGTTTCATCTATTGAATCATCCTTGAACTTTATCAACAGGTTTCTAGAGATCCCATAGTAGGATCTTATCTGAACATTTTTAGCAAGAATCTCAATTAGTGTAATGGAATATGATAGATAGTTATCAAGACAAGATAAGGCTCCCTGATGAAACATAACAAATAACATCATGGGTTTCACCTACAAGGCGTCTTGTTTCTTCTGGTTTTGGAATAAAATCTTCTCTTCCCTTTACTAAGTCCATGTACAATGGAGGGAGCTGTTCCACTAATGGAAGAATTTGCTTCATGATGGGAGGGCTAAGCGTTTCTAATTGTTTTCGAGTCATCTCTGCCTGCAAGTAGTTTTGTTGTCAGTTATTTGAAGGATGAAAGAGAATACAACGTACAAAGCATTACAACTTGATGCGTCAAATATCAAAAGTAGAATTTACTGCTATTTTAAATACAAATTGAGAGACAAAACCAATGAGCAGCAAACAAATTGATCAAACACAATCACTAAAAGCAAGAAGTTAAACTATCACTTGGGAAAACTAGCTAAGAGCTGTACATCGTAAAATAGTCCGAGCAGAGGAATCAAAATCTTACCCCAAGGCGGATTGTTGGGGATGTTGCTATCTGTGATAACAGTGGTCCAAGGCTCTGAGCCATCGGGACAAGAACTGGGGAGAACAAAGGAATAGCTAAGCTCGCTTCCTGCAAAATTAGGGGTTCCAATAATATATCACTTCTTACAGGTTTTGTGATTCCATGTAAGGATTTACAATATCTTTCCAATAAAAAAAGGATTACTTCAGATGAAAAGGGTTTTACATGTAAGGTGGGGAATACATTATAAGAGTACATTGTATTATCTGAATGAGGGAAATCCAAGGGGATGAAATAATACTGGGAATGTTTTATATTTCGATGTAAATTGTTTAACTGATGTTTGACTATGATTGCCTTTGGTAAGATAGATAAACCCATTTACCTTGTTATTGAATGCCATAAATACATTGCCATTTCGCTGAACAGCATACCTTGATCCTGAATGACTAGTGAAAACCAACTCAATAAAAAACTAATGAGCTGAATCAGTATTCGACATTCCCAACCAATTAAACCTAGTTACCAATCAGAAGGTGAATAACAGATCCTAGTGAATGACCAATCCCAAAAGATGGAAGATCCTGCACCTGTTGAGAGAAAAGGAACTACTATTCAAACTGAAACCAAATTTTACTTTTCCTGGAGCACACACAAGCTAGAACAAAAAGATTTCTTGTTTTTCTAGGATCACTAAAAGACACTCACTGTTTCTTGTAGAGATCGGCAGCATCTATCAAACTTGAACTGTACTTCGTCAGCAATATTGAAGTGGTCGAAACCACTCGCATAGGGTGTAGCGATAACCAAAACATCCCTGCGCGAACAAAATGAGTTAATTATTAAGCAAAACTCTGCACAACATTATCGTAAAATCAAGACAAACCAGAATTAGATAAGCCAGATTCCTTATAAAGCTGTCTTCAGAAGAATAAAAGAAAATGAATAATACCACACCATGAGATCATATAAAGTATCCTTAAACAGACTTACTTCTCTGCTAATCTCTCAAGAAACAATCGATAGGTAAGCTGGGGTGCAGCGCCAACGAATATTCCGCCAATGAAATGAACAACCATCTTCGGTTTCGAGTTTCTTGGTTTCAACACCCATGCTCCCTAAAACAAAGTTCACTAAATTGTTGAAACCAATCTGAACCACACAATTCTCCTCAGTATGACTTTTTATTCTAACAATCATCCATTACAGCATCATTCCCAGAAATTACACATCAACATCAAATTCTAATTCCAAACATTCAAATCAACATTGGCAATTAAGTTCTCAATCATCATGTCAAATTTTTATTACAAACATTGAAATCAACATTTAAGGTAAGCTCCTAAAATGTTCATATCCAATAATTGAGATAACACAAAAAAAAACACACACACACACACTTCAACATGAACATCAAATTATAATTCCAAACATTCAAATCAATATCTCAACCACAAAACATTCTCCTGACTATGACTAAGATTCTAATTCACAATCATCAACATCAAATTCTAATTCAAAACATTCAAATCAATATCTGAACCACAAAACATTCTCCTGACTATGACTAAGATTCTAATTCACAATCATCAATGTCAAATTCTAATAACAAACATTCAAATCAATATCTGAACGACAAAATATTCTCGAGACTATGACTTAGATTCTAATTCACAATCATCAATGTCAAATTCTAAATTACAAACATTGAAATCAAAATTCGAAGGTAAGCTCCTAAAATGTTCATATCCAATGATTGAGAGATAACACAAACCTCAACTTCTGACCAATCAGAGGATCCACCGGAGCTACTCTGAGATTGTTTAACAGTCTCTGTTAACAACCTGCGAAAATCGAATCGATTAAGCCAGAGTGGTGAAGCTAGTTACAGTAAACAACGGTGGCGTACCTCTCGATCTCACCGTAAACTTGAATTCCAGAAGATTGAGTCCGATCTCGACCTTTCTCGTCGTAGCTACAGATAACTCTTCGTGCGATACGCTCTTTACCGAGGTTTAACATCGAAGGTAGAGATTGGCGGCGAGAGTGAGATAAGCTACAGAATCGCCGGCGGGGAGAAATAGACGGTGACGCCCAGAGGGAACACGTAGCCATGGCTCGGAGCTTGGAGGAGGTTTTGGGTATCTGAGGTTCGTCGCTGAGAGTTTTTTTTTTTTTTTTTAATTCCGTTCTGATTTTTGAAATCGGAGTCGTGTACGCTTTGGACTTGTATGACTGTAACAGCATCTTGTAACGCAAACATTGTGATCATCCAAAAGTTAAACAAAAATTAGGAAAAATCCTAAAATCCCCAATGTATTTTGGGACAAATCTCCCAGAACCATTATTGTTAGTTTTAATATTTAACAGTACAACTAAAATATATCCCAGAAACATTTTTTATTTTATTATATAAAGTTTAGTTTCAAAATTTACTAGTATCAATTTTATTTCATGTCTTACTACTATATGAATTTCTGCCTTTAAAATTAGTCATTAACATGATCGTGAGAAATGTCAACTGAAAAATTATTAAAATGTTTTAAAATAAAAATGTATCTAAACTTAATACAAAAAAAACAAAAAAATTCTATACAACCTACCAAAAAGAAAAAGAAATCTATACATAATTAAAAAAAAACGTGTTCCTATACTAAAAAAAATACTTAACATAATTTTAGTTTATTAAATTATTAACCTAATTTTACTGGGAATCTTTTAATCGTTGATACATATATATCAATTCGTACTTCGTCTTCCTATCGAAAACTGAAATCGAGAAGTTTTATTTGAATTGTGCGGTTGACAAAAAAAAATCTCGATTTCAGTTTTCGACAAGAAACTCGGAAATTTGTTAATCTTAATATGAAATTATATTTTTATACTGTCAAATTAAACTTTATTATTATTTTTCAACCTCTATTGGTTGATCATAACTCACTGCAATCAATTAAAATTTTTATTATTCTTTCATTCATTATATTTTTTGAGTAAACAATTTAAGTGGTTAAAGAAAGTATGTCAAAAACAGTTTTAATGGTTAAGAAAGTTATTTCGAAAACACTTTCAATGATTAAGGAAATTATGTCAAAGTGAAAGTAAATTGACATATAATTGGTTAAGTTTGTTCGTAGAGACATTTTATAGGTGGTGATAAAGAGCATACTTAAACAATAGAATATCTTTTACGCACTTTTAGTGGTAGAACATATTGTTTTTTTTTTTTTTGATCAAAGTGGTAGAACATATTGTAAAATCATATATTAATCTTAATAATACGATGACTTGACGGATGTGTTGCATCTAAAATATTTTGTGAATAAGTTGTGCAATCATATTTTAGCTGAGTGTGTGAAATAACGTTTTTCAGTTAAAAATAATAATAGTAGTAATAATAATATAATTTTTAACTCAAAAAACGAATAAAATAATTTAATTAGTTTTAGAATATTTTCTACTTACAAATTTATATTTTCTTATGATTAATTTTATGAAATAATTTAGGGGGAATTTCAAAAATACCCCTTTTCATATACCTCTTTTTTAAAAAATACCCTCTTTTCAAACTTTATCAAAAAACCCACTAAAAATGTTGAAATTTATCCAAATATGTGTGTGAGCTTATAAATATATACACAAATTACTTTTATATGTGTCTAAAACTTTATACACCTTTCATAAATAGCGTAAAAATAAATTATAAAAACCTTATAAAAACCGTATAAACCTTTTTAAAAACCGTATAAAAACCTTATAAAATTTATAAAAACGATTTAAAACTATTTAAAACATTTTAAAACATTTGTATCGAATCTCCCAGTAGTAGTTATTATATAAAAGTACCTTATAAACTATATAAAACTTTATAATTTTTTATATTTAAAAAGGGGTATTTTTGAAAATGGATAGATAAAAGGGGTATTTTTAAAAAGGGGTACACCAAAAGGGGTATTTCTCAAAAATTCTCAATAATTTAATAGCCTGATGTCCTAATCAAGTAAAATATAAAGCTACTCAGCTTTTAGGATGACGAGATTCAGACACACCCTTATTTAGATAAAGAACATGACTCATGCCCATTAAATTTGGCATTAAAAATAGTTGACGTGCTTGTTTTTGTCGATCCTATTGGTTTGGAGAGCATATACTACTTGCCGGAGGATGAGACAGCTTAGAGTTGATATGTTCTTTTTTTCTAATAATAAGACTAGTACTCACGTGTATTAGTGTTCTTCGAACATTGGTAGGTTTTGGTTAGTTTTATTTTTACAAGTTTTATTTAGATTATAATGGATTTTATTTAGTTAACGAAATGTGAAAAAAATACTGAAAATAAAGTTTTAGCATTCAAAATTTTACTCTAAATTCTAAATATCAAACACCATCTCCCAAAAATTATACCATAATCTAAAACAATTGACCATATTTTACACCTTTGAAATTAAATTTTATGTTTGCGATGTTTTTAGAAAATTAAAAATACTGTGGTATTTTTTGGAAATATAAACTTATTGTGGTATTTTTTTGGAAACAAAGTTAGAGTGTGGTATTTTGAAGAGTTCCTCTTTTTTATTTGGATGATTACTACTTGATATATTTTTGGTTGGAAGATATATATATATATATATATATATACTGATTAGAATGTGTTATTTACTATTTGAAATATTAAATATTGCTAATTTCATATTTAAGATCTCAAATCAAAAATTTAAATTTTAAATTTTCTTTTTATCATCTCAGTTATTTATTAATTTTAAAATTACTTCGCATTAATTATTAAAAGAAAACTAGAAAAGATTAAAACGAGAAACTGCCTCCATTACAACGAATCCGACAAATCCAGTTTGGAGTAGGCTGCTGAATAAATTAGAGAAATGAATATACATATACATTTTTCAATTTTTATTTTACTTTCAAAAATAAAATACTTCAAAAAGTGAAATATTGATTAATAAAAATTAATTTTTATTCAAATAAATTAAAGTTAATGCTACAGTCTGCTGTTCTAGTACCATTTCTTGAAACTTGTTTAACGAAAAAAAATATAAAAATTAGGGGTTATCAACTGATAAATATTGATCACAGTTTGGTTAATTGATGTACTTAAAATTTTTCTTTTTATCACAATTGATGAAGATATGATCACAATAGCTTATTAAAGAGTGAAGACACTCCAGTGCGAAACTTGAAACATAGAAATGAACTAATTCATTACTATTTGTATTCACCAAAAAAAATCTAGTACTGAATAGTTTAGATGCGATGCACTGAAAGCAATAAGTGTTGAACATTTCAAAGAGTTGACCATGAAAATAAATTAGAAAAGAAAAAATCACTATGAAACCAAGTTAATAAGACTTAGTTTTGGTCTCGTAGGAGGAGGAGTCTTTGTCTCGCGTCTCTCTAACCGCGTTGATTTGCCGTCTTAAAAACACAACTCCTTCAAATATAACCAAACATATATACTCACACGCCATGAGAAGTCTCTTCTTCAATGGCACTTAGTATCTCAATCTCTCGTTTCTCCTTTTACTTTGTGTCTCTAGTTTTGCTTCTATCTTCCTTCTCCTTTGTTTGCTTCTCCCTCTCTACTGTCTCGATCTCTCATATCTCTAATCAGACCCTTGTATGTGCTCTCACCAACCAGTCGTATATCCAATGTTCTAGTTTCCCTTTAAATTCGATTCGTTTTTCTTTAACCGGCAACCTCCGAAATAGTAGGTTTTCCGGCCTTGTATCCGGGAATGGGTTTGTTTGCGGGTTGATATCGGCGCATGATTCAAATATTTCTACACTTATTTGTTGGCGATTCTCTGTTAACGGAGCTAATATGTCGCGCAAAAGAATCTACCAAGGTCCTGAGCTAGAACAATTAGAAGCCGGGAATTCGCGCATTTGCGGAATTGAGACAGTCTCAAGGCGCCTCCGTTGCTGGCAACCGGTCTATATGCCACGTTTGGCTAATTATAATTCCATTGCGGTGAGTGATAATCTTTTCTGTGGGCTACTTCAGCTACCTGGAAGGATCAGTTGTGAACAAGAAGGTATATCCAAAGTGCCGAGTGGAGACCATTACATCGCGATAGCAGCCGGGTCAAGACAAGCGTGTGCGATCACAGTTAACAATGATATGGAGTGTTGGGGACAACCGCAGTTTCCGCCACGAGAAAAGTTCTCAGCACTAGCGATTGGGGAAAACCGTAGCTGCGGTGTTAGGTGGTCTAATGGAACAGTGGTGTGTTGGAGCAACAACAATAACAATTTCAATTTGCCACAGACGCTTGAGGACATTCATTTCACATCAATATACGCTAAAGGGGATATATTTTGCGGCGTTGCCACAAAAAACTACACTCTATATTGCTGGGGAAATGAGAATTTTAAATCGGGTATTTTTGTTCCGTTCGAAGGTCGAATTTCAAAATTGGTAATGCCAGGACCGTGTCGAAAAGAATGTCCTTACGGTCCATTGTTAGGATCACAGTCATTATGCAGCAACGATTTAATGATTTGCGATTTGAAGAGAAAGGATGGAGTATTTCCTGATACACGGGCACAACAACACTCTAAGAACAAGACTTGGAGCACAAGAAACATTGTGTTTGTTATAGTTGGATGCGTTGGAACGTTATCTTCGCTCTTAGTCATCAGTTTCTTGGTCTATAAAAGCAACTATCGATGCCGTGTCCATGACTCTGGACGTCTCGATGATAATAGGACAATAGATATACCCAAGCTTGAGAAGAGGCTGAGTAGTCTAGCTAGTTTAGGGAACCCTGGCCAGCTCATGGAGTTTTCAATTATTGAGCTGTCTCAAGCTACAAATGGTTTCTGTGTCCGGTTTCAGCTCGGGATAGGCAGCTTTGGCTCGGTTTACCAAGCCGTTTTGTCGGATGGACGTCATGTCGCCATCAAACGCGCTGAACTCACAAACCCGGCATCATCTAGGACAACGATGAAAAACCGAAGAGCAGACAATGATTCAGCGTTTGTGAACGAGCTAGAGTCTATGTCGCGGCTGAACCACAAAAATCTTGTTAGACTTCTCGGTTTCTACGAAGACACAGAAGAGAGGATTTTAGTGTATGAGTACATGGAGAATGGATCTCTCTCCGATCACCTTCATAATCCTCGATTTGACCCTATTACGTGGCAAACACGCTTGAATATCGCGCTTGACGCTGCACGTGGAATTCAATACCTCCATGAGTTTGTTGTGCCTCCGGTCATCCATCGTGACATAAAGTCGTCGAACATACTGCTTGACGCCATGTGGACAGCCAAAGTATCAGATTTTGGCCTCTCTCAGATGGGTCCAACTGAAGAAGATGATGTGTCACATCTCTCCTTACACGCTGCGGGTACGTTAGGCTATATCGACCCAGAGTACTACAAACTTCACCAGCTCACAACCAAGAGTGATGTTTACAGCTTCGGCGTCGTGTTGCTAGAGTTACTCTCAGGTTACAAAGCGATACACAAGAACGAAGAGGGGAACTATAGAAACGTCGTGGAGTATGTTGTACCTTACATTTTTATGGACGAGGTTTATAGGGTACTTGACCCTAGGATTTCTCCCCCAACGCCATTCGAAATCGAGTCGGTGGCTCATCTCGGACACTTGGCCGCAGATTGTCTAACGCCTTGTGGTCGGAAAAGGCCGTCAATGGGGGATGTAGTGAGTAGACTAGAGACAGCTTTGGCCGCTTGTTTGGTGGCTCCGACAGAGAAAGTAACTCGATCAAACAGTTACTAGCCACGCTTGGTCAACCTTAATTATATTGAATTTTTAGGAACTAGAAATTTATTAATTTGTACAGAATTTTAATATTTTAATGTGAAAGCTGAAAGCAAAAGTTCGCTGCTTCTTTTTGTACGCATTACATAACAGTCCAAGTCAATGGTTTGAAGACAAAGAAGTGTAAAGCTTAGCAACGTATATTAAACTCCATGGGAAAAGTATAAAGTATTCTAATAATTATTACTTTATAGGAAAAAGAGTTGGTACAAAATTTGGTCGACCATTGTCTACGGTCAAATTTTGACTGATACGAAAAGACCAAAGAAAATTTCAAAAGTCCTACAATCACTAGTACCTCAGTTCTATTCTTCATGATTGTAACAAGAGAACACAATGGTTTATATTCAGTGACTCTACAGATTACAAGAATGGTTGCATATTTCTGAGGTTTGACGTAGACATACATTGTTTTACTAACAACAAAAAAGAGTGTTCTTGCGATACAAGTGATATCGAGCAAATTTGATGAATGTGATAGGGGATATTTACCACTGGTTAGGTCTTTGCCAAGAATGGTTTAACTTCAGAGTGAACTTGGAGAATTGTCCCTCTGTTGAAGCAATGGATACGGAGGAGTATCGATCTGGGCAAACACTTCCTCAGGTTTGTACCAAGAATGATTTAACTTAAGAGTGAACTTGGAGCGGTGTTTCTCTGTTGAAGCAATTCAGACAGAGCAGTGTCGATCTGGGAAAACACTTCACCTTTTGAACGGTTTCCCTCGATCTGGATAATAATTGTAAATAACGTGCTATTTTGCTTTACGAAACTCATAAAAGAAGAGATAGCAAAATTGAAATGGAAAGGAAGTGAGTGAGGTCTTATACCTTGATAGTTATATCGTCATACATAGAAAGCACATCTGTCACATTTTGGTTATGAGTCTTCAGCCGCAGTTTTGCCTACAGCGAGAGAAAAAAAAGTTCAGAGACATAATTGGACTAAGAGAGTTTCATGAGTGAATAATGATTGCATGGGTAACTATCAAGAGGCACGGAACTATAAAAGAATAAAAGAAGTATAGACTTGCCTTCTCTTCAGTATCATCAAAACGTTGGGTGAGTCTAGAAGCAATTTCTTCTGTCTCTGGAGGAGAATACTTCAAGTGGTAGATCTTTCCCGTGACAGGATCTAATCTACGCCCAACAACTCTTTCAATTAGGATATCTTCAGGAACCTGTCCCAAAAGGAGAGTAGGTGTAAATCAAATGAGCCGATCTCCATCGGATAAACTATAGAGAGTTAAAGCAATGTGACTGCATCTAGTGATAACATCTTACACAGAAGATAGATAGCTAATGGACCTAGTTTATTATCAGTAGTCTGGATTCTAAAACAGATTACCAGTATTTAATGTTTCCGCAATCTGTTGCAAATATCTGGTCCAACGAGGTAACAGTTAATCCGTTGCGTTGAGCTCACAAATATAGCTCAAATCTAGCGAGTTCTAGAGAAAGCCTTTAGCTGAGAGATAAAAGAACATTAAAAATAGGAACATTGCTTACTTCCAGGACAATGAATAGATCAGGCTGGAATCCAAATCCCTTAAGAGCTGTTGCCTGTGATGAACTCCTAGGATATCCATCCAAAAGCCATCCATTCTGCTCTGAATCTTTCTGCGACAAACGATCTTTTACCATCATTACAACTATTTCATCAGGGACCAATTGTCCTTTCTCCATAAATTCTTTAGCTCGTCTTCCATTTTCACTTCCAGAAGCTATTTCAGCCCTCAGCAAATCTCCAGCAGAGATATGCACCAAACCATACTGCATACCAACAAAAGAAGAAAATCTCAATCTTCTTCTAATTCATGAGAGAATCTCATCCACCACAGAGAAGTAAAATAAGGGAACCCTATAAAGCATGAAGTCTTCCATTGAAACAGAACCTTCAAAGTTAAGTAAAAAGGAGCAGCAAATTCCACAGAAACAGCGGGTTTTTTTCATGAGCACGACGATACTTACCTATTAAACGACCTAAACTTCTAATCTCCACTAAACACCAGACACATTACTGAACTTTTATATCATATTAACCACTTTATTAAATAGGAACATCCCATGATACAGCCAAGAACTGGTTCAATGCTTGAAATCATTACTAGAGAAAGCTCTGAGTCAACAACTCATGCAATGATAAAATCGATCACAAAATGAATTGGATTAGTATCCAAAACCTAAGCTAATTGCTTGAAATCATTACTAGAGTCAACTCATGCAATACTATGGTTGGCCTAAATTAAGATTCAATGATAAAAATCAATTGGAATAGAATCAAAAACCTTACTTTTTGAGTAATCAGCTCGCATTGTGTACCTTTACCAGAAGCAGGAGCTCCTGATATCATAATTTTCAAAGGCTTCGCTTTCTCAGCCGCAACAATCTATAAATTCCCTTCCACACAAAAACAAATCCATAAATAAAAGTTTCGCAGACGATAAACACAACTACACAAACGCATTTCAAAAATCGAAGCTCAGAACAATCATCCACCTGAAATTTGGGGGAGATAACCGACGGAGATCTGGTAACACGCCGGAACCGGTAAAGAGAGTGGACGGAATCGCCGGAAAAAGAAAAGGATGACCGTGAAACTGGTGACGGAGAGGAAAGATGCGAGTGGAAGGTCATCGGCGGTGGAGATATAGAATTCACACAGCCCGTCATGGCTTTCTCTCTCTCTCTCTCTCTCTCGCTCAACGAGCTTGTGGTGGTGGTGGCTATGGAGGGACCAGAGAGAAGAACTAGTTGTTCAGATTTTTTAGTGGAGGCCCAAACCTAAATGGACTCATTTTAACTTCTTTAATGATTCTTGATCGTTATGTAACTAAACTAATCTAAAAGAGAAAAAACCAAAAAACCAAAAAACACACCATTTATTTTTTATTTAGACATTTAACGGGTTATTTTTTTTTATTTTGATCTGATCCATTATCACTCATGTAAAAGTGTATTTCTCTTTACTATATAGAGGATAGTTTGGCGGTAGCCATGCAATTTTTTTTGTTACTTGGTTCAAAGGTTTTTGATTCATTTCTCTTATCAAACCCATTTCAATTTTTATTTTATTTAATATTCTATGTTTGGTCCTTGTTCCCATGAAATAGAGGAAGATGATAATGGACTTTTCGGAGAGTTCTCTTTCTTGATATTGTCTAGTAAAGTTGTGAGTTATTTAACCGTAGGAGATTTAGAGATTTGATTCAATCCTCCATCATATTGGAGCTAACGAAGATTCTAGAGATTTGATTCAATCCTCCTTCTCTTCCAATCCCGATGATAAATGAAGCCACCATTAGCCACATGGAGAGTAAAACTCTTCTTGTTCCTCTCCACCAATCGATCCAAAATCTTGATTTAGCCAAAAGTTTCATTTTTCAATGGAGGAAGTAATTGAAGATCGGGCGATTCGGGTTTTTGTGATCTCGATCTTGTGTTATGATAAGTCTCAGACCTTATCTAAATAGAAAATAACCATAATTAAGGAGGGAGAGAAGTATTGTGTCGCTTATGGCAGACAGAAGATAGAGAGAGAAGGTTTTGTTGTGCCGTTAGGACAACTTTCAAGACGCCAATAGGAAGAACTCCATTTCAGTTGGTGTATAGTAAAACATGTCCTCTTCTTGTGGAGATTGAGTACAAAGCGCTTTGGGCTATCAACCTTCTTAATTTGGACATTGATTTTGCTCAAATAAAGAGAGTCCTTGACATCCATGAACTTGAGAAAAATCAGACTTCATGCTTTTGAGAGTTCCAAAATCTACAAGGAGAGAACCAAGGCCTTCCATGACAAGAAGATTAATGCTAAGGATCTCAAGGTTGGTGACCAAGTCATCCGGGAAAGCTTAAGTCTAGATGGTATGGACCGTTTGAAATTAAAGAAGTTCTGCCATTCAGTGCAATCACTCTCATGAACAAAGATAGCAGCAAGTTCATTGTGAATGGTCAACGTGTCAAGAAGTACTTAACTAATCAAGAGACACTAGAGGGGTCCTCTATGCCCCTCTATGAATCTCTAAAAGCCTAAAATGGCATGAAAAGTCAAGTTTAGTGACTTTGAACAAACTCACTTCAGAGAAAGTCCCGATGGTATCCCTATAAAAACTACTTAGGATTTCTTGTTATTTTGATTTTCGTTTTTGGTTTTGTGTTGGTCAGGATTTCATAGAGATAAAATTTGGGCATGAATATCAGAGAAGTTAAAGAAACAGTGTGAGGAACAAATGCATGATCGAGTATAAAGCAGTGACACATGTGGAGTGGGAGAAAAAAAGTTATTTGTTGTTTTCTTGTGGAGTGAAACATGAAGAAATACACTGAAAAAACCAAGGACAACACCACACACTCGACCCCAATAACAAACATCCCTTTACCCACTAATTATCTTATCTGATGTGTTGTGTTTTTAATAAGTGTTTTTAAGTGTTTTAAGGTAGTTAATATAGCATTCTCTTGTCTCTTAGGTTGTTTTAAGTTGCATTTTCATCTTGTTTTCATCTTATTAGGTATTTGGAGCTTTAAGGAGTTATTGAAGCATAAATGGAGTAAAGGATTAAATTTTGGAGTCAAAATTGGATCAATCAAGACTGAAGAACAAGAGAAGAGAAGGAAGAGAAAGCCAACCGACCAACCGATCAGCTGGGAGGTCGATTCAGTTGAGTTTGTAGCCTCAGACAAGACTCAACCGATCGATCAACCGATTGGTTGAGTTTCCATTACAAGCCAACCGACTGATCGGTCGGTTATCACATGTTCGAGACTTTCTTACGAATCTCAATCAACCGATCAACCAATCGGTGAGAATCAACCCATTGGTCGGTCGGTTCAACGTTATAAGTTTGCAAAAATCCGGTTTGTCCCGGTTATCTCCGGTTTGTTTTGGTTTAATATAATGTTTTCCTATAAATACTCCAACCCTAATTGGGATTTGGTTAAGTTTTGTTTTAGAAACAAAAATTCTTCTTTATGGTTTCCATTTTGAGTTTTTGCATTGGATCTTGGTTCTTAATGTTATAAAATTTGATTTTGTCTTTGATTTTCCGGAATCTACAATCTCTAATCATGATTTCACAAAGATCAAGCACATTACTTTGTGCTTTCATGACGATGAGTGAGTAGTCATCTAGAATCTCTGGGTTAGGTAGATTAAAAGGATTTTGGAGTTGGGTTATGGACTTTAAGATTAGATTATCGTAGATCCTAGCTTAGAGGTTGCTAATAATGCTTGATCAATCTTGATCATGTTGATTCTAGTCTTAAGAATTTCATACCCGAAAGGTGTTCAATGAAATTCCCGAACCAAAAGCTGTAAGAGCTTTGCATTCCTTGCCATTGGAAAAATTTTATTAGGATGTTTGGTGGCTAGATATACTTGTTTTTAATTGCCTTTGGAATAAGTTAATGATTATTTGATTAATGAAGTGATTATTGTCGAGGAAAAGGATTAGTCTAATTAAGTGTTTATGGACTTTGGATAAATGCTTGTTTGAAGCATCTTTGTGTATTACTTTTGTGTTGAGCTTGCAAATTGAGAACCGAATAAATCAGTTTAGAAAAATACTACATCAATTTGGCACTGCTGCCGATTTGCAATTGCATTAACCATTACGATTTAATCATTGCTTAAGACTAAGCGTTTCTTTACGTTGTTACTAAAATTTCTTGTCTTGGTGTTTTGATCTTTCTTTTGTAAGGTGTATGAACTTGAGAAGCCAAGATCAAGAGAATTTGGTTAATTGGGTTGAAGACATCAGCCGGTTAGAGAGAGAGATTGCTCGGACAAGAAGAGAACACGAACGGTTTGCTCACCTTGAAAGATTAGGAATGGCAAACAACCCGCCACGCAATGGTGATGGTCCTAATGGAAATGACCAACATCATGTTCCAAAAGGCCCCATCCAACAAATGGAAGTTGATTATGGAGCTAACAACTTCAAACAAGCATTTATCCAAAGGAAACCTCTAAGCTAGGATCTAAGATAATCTAACATTAAACTCCAGAAACCAACTCCAAAATCTTCCTTATCTACCCAACCCAAAGATTCTAGATGACAACTCACTCATGGTCATGAAAGCACAAAGTAATGTGTTTGATGTTTGTGAAATCATGATTAGAGATTGTAGATTCAGGAAAATCAAAAAGAAAATCAAATTTGATAACTTTAATTTAAAAACCAAGATTCAATACAAAATTTAGATAGAAAACATTAAGAGGAGTTTTTGTTCCTAAAACAAAGCTTAACAAATCCCAATTAGGGTTAGAGTATTTATAGGAAAACATGGTATTAAACCAGAAAAAATTTAGGGTTAGAGTATCTATAGGTATTAAACCGAAACAAAATGAAAATAACCAAGTACCTATTTAGATGCAAATGCAACTTAAAACAACCTAAGATGACAAGAGAATGCAAGATTAACCACCTTAAAACAATTAAAAACACCCAAATTTATCAGTTGTTTGTCCACAAGCAAACTTACAAGTGATGGTTTGAGAAAAAGGTTTGAAAGTGGGGATTCTTTTTTTTTTTTTGTAAACCAATAATATAAAATCTGAACCAAAGTCTCAACCTCCTAAAGCAGAGGGTGAAATACACGAAAGAAGTCCAACTTTTGCCAAGGCATGAGCTTCTGGAATCTCAACACGAAGAATAAAATGAAAAGAAATCAAACTAAACTTAGCGCTAAAGATTTTGATATCCTCCAACAAGCCATCAAGCTCGTTTGTGTGGCCAGCGGAAGTGAGAAGATGGATGAGGTTTTGGCAATCCGAGTTGTAGGCCAGTCTTGTTACACCCAAAGCTAAAGCCGCCAAAATAGCCGCCTTCAAAGCTAATGTCTCTGCTACAAGAGCAGAGAAACCTTGTTGGGTCAAGCCATTGCTCGGTGACTCAATGATCCAGCCCATTCCACACCACTTAGTTGCTTCCTTCCAAGCCGCAGCAGAAAAGCAGATGAACGCTTTAGGATGAACGTCTCCCATTCCCGATTTCGAAACGCCTTGTTTTCTTTTTTGTGTTTGATTAACTTAGCCTGCTGGCAAGCTCGAGCTTTTACCACTGTTTACACAAAAATTCTTCCTCAGTCCAGCTTCGATCCTCAAGGATAAGAGCATTGCGAACCTTCCACATGGACCATAGAATCCAAGGGTACAACAGTGAGAAAACAAATCCAATAGGCGGAAGAAAGAAAAAATTTCTTGAACCCAGCCCAGCCTCATCAAAGGGGATTCATATTCACAAAATATTAAGCAAATGATTCAAACTAAAGTCCTCAAAGATAGTTCAAAGGTGCATGAATCAATTATCGTACTTTGAAATATTTTCTCATACTCAAGTTAAGGCATAATTCTAGCTCAATCTCAATGTATTAGCAAAGACTCACAATCAAGTTGAAAAATCTCTTTCACATTCATTAAGGTGTTGGGCGCGGTCTCGTCAGTAGAAAATGAATTGATCTCAATCGGTTTGGGTAAGGCTTTTTAAGGGTGTTTTGTCAAAATTTATTTCTTTGGCTGACTAACTCTTAAACAAAGGAATGCTAGACAATTATGAAATGTACGTACGACCAAGAACAATTTAGCGTAACAGGTTTTAACTACTGTTATTCTACCCATCTTAGATATAACTTCCTAATCTCTACCCTTTTAGCACCATCTTTCTTTTCTTCCTTTTACTCACACCCATTGGGCACTTTTGGTCTCTTTTCTTTTCAAACCCCAACCTTCATGGCCAAGATCTTATTATTTTCTAGCCTTTTTTAAAACACTAAGCTCTTTTCTAATCCCATTTTCTTTGCCTTTCTTTTGTATCCAATGCACAATTCTTTGCAAAACGTTTCATTTTCTTGTGGAGACTACCATACACAAATATTTCTTTCCTTCTAAGAGGCTAGAGCTTCCTTTCTTATGACTTTAATTCTCTGAGACTCCTTTTAAAACTAATGATCAAGCCTTTCTTTTCAACCTTTCTTTTTTTCCTTCCCTCAATCCCAAGCCAATATACTCAATCAACCACTTAACCCTTTAAATCCTAACCTAATAGCTAGGTTCAAACGTTCCAAATCCTAGCTAAAACAAGAGTCAAAACCTTGTCGTTCTCGATACTCTCAACATTTCATGATCTATAACATTATCAAGAAAATGCCTCACTCACAAATAAATCAAGGGCTTGAAAGAAAAAGGGTAGCGTTCAAGACGGAAAATTATTTCTTCAAGTTATTTCAAAGATTGGTAGAAGATAGGGTAACCAGAATTATAAAAATGACCATGAGAAAGAATTCAAGTTCCATAAGCGAGAAGAATAATATTCAAATTAAGTCCAAATTCATAGAGATGTTTCAAAATTCATGTAAGCTTGACGCAGGAAGAAATTGCTTTTGAAAGATACAAAGGTCTAAGATGAATTTTCATTTTTTTCAAGATGATTAAGCAACTAAGGGCTTTAATTCCAATCCTAAGATTTAATTTCGACAAGGAATTTTAACCATCATCCCCAAGGCATATGCAAATGCAAGCTATATACTGCTAGACTTAATTCTAGAGATAAAAATGAAAGTGCAAAGCTACATGATTTTTTTTTGAATTTTTCAAAATTTTCATTTTTTTTTTGTTTTTCTCAAAACATAGCTATTAACAAATGCAAGAATCAAGAGAAAGAAAGACAAAACAATACAAAACATTCAATGGTTAGTCTCTTCCCCAAACTTAATTCACATTGTCTCGATGTGAGGGAAGTCCGAGAAAAGACTAACGAAAAACAAACAAAACACAACTCAAATGGCATAGATAATGGTTAGTAATGGTACCTTACTCAAGCTTCTTCTCATATTCTATGTCAGCAAGTATTTGTGAAATTGTAAGCACTTTTGATGACAATGAAATATCTTGTTTCATCCACTGCTCTAAACACATCAAAACCTCCACCATATAATGAGTTAGAGAACTCCTTGCTGGCGATATGATTCTTCCACTCGTTCTGAATGCACTCTCCGATGCAACCGATGACACTTGGACTGCAAGTACATCACGAGCTATCTCTGCTAAAACTGAATATTTGTGGGCATTGACCTTCCACCAAGACAGTACATCATACTACATTCCATGCATCACATCTGGAGTCTCACAACTTTCCTTTAGATACACATCCAGCTCATCCTTTGATACTTTAACTCCTTTCTCATTTTGCATCTCTATAAATCTAGATTCCACCTTTCTTCTTTTACGATTAGAAACCAAGTCGAGGTCGTCATCCCATCTTTCAGTTGACTGCTCTTGATTGCACTGAGATGTCTGAGAAAACTGACTGTTTTCAGAGGTTGTAGCCCTACCCAATCGTAAATTGTATTCATATCACGATTGTCTTTATGTTTTGTGAAATGCTCCCATACTTCAGCCCTCTCGCCTTTGCTCCTTTTGTGTTTTTGGTTGAGAAGTAGCTCCATTTGGGTCATCTGGTGCTTTTCGTTTGCCAGAATCAGTTCCTTCGTTGTCAAGTCCCTCACCATTTGGAAATGATGATGAATCCATCTGAAACAGAGAAAGGACCCATTGTAAAAGCATGCAGTCTTGACTTTTATGATTTAACATTCAAATTATTATATAAGAACACACGCTTCTTCGTAGCTTTGTGGATCGCAAAGCTTCAACATAAACTTTATAGATCCAACTAAGAACACACGCTTCAATACTAAGAACACACGATTCCATTATATAAGAACACACGATTCCATTATATAAGAACACACACTTCAATATTTACACTGAATTCAAAGTTCCAATCACTAAAACTAGTGACCAAAAGCTATAAAACACAGAAACAACAAAAACAAAAACGTAGAACACACGGTTTAGTACAAAGAACAAAAACAAAAAACAAAAGTACAGAGATAAAGAGCTAACTCAGAACACACCTTTCAATACTAAGAACACATGATTCCATTATATAAGAACACACGCTTCAATATTTACACTGAATTCAGAGTTCCAATCACTAAAACTATTGACCAAAAGCTATAAAACACAGAAACAACAAAACTAAAAAACGTAGAACACACGCTTTAGTACTAAGAACAAAAACAAAAACAAAACAAAAAAAACAAAAGTATAGAGAAAAAGAGCTAACTAAGAACACACGCTTCAATAATCAATACTAAGAACAAAAATAAAAAACACAGAACACACGCTTCAAACTCGATGAGCTTCGTCATCAATCCCTAGAGATCATCAAAAAACAAAAGAATTTACACTGAATTCAAAGACAGTGATTAATCCCCAGAGAAACCATCGTTATTAACCCAAAAAAAAGTAAGTAAAGTAAGCTGTCGAATATTCCTTTTAGCTTCTTAAACAATAAACATAGCGTTAGAGAGAGAGAGAGAGACGTATGATAGAGAGAGAGAGAGACGTAGAAAAACAAGAAAACTCACTTGAGAATAATTTGTTGAAAACTCAGAGAGAGGAGGAGCTTCTCGAGGATGTTGTGAATCCAGTTTGTTTGTTGTTGAGAGTTTTGAAGGGAAAAATTGAAATTGGGTATGGAAGCTAAATCGTCTCCTATGATTTTGCTAACTGCAGAATGATGATTTTTTTGGAAATGAAAATATTGAAAATCGATTCGAGTATATCAGTTTCTGGGCAATGAAATCGATCAACAAGGGAATGAAATCTGGTTTACAATCGTGACAATTGGGTTTTTGGGTATGTTTGGGTTTACCCGAACCTGAACCCGAACCCGAACCCGAACCCGGAATTTTCAAAACAAAAACCCGATCCGGTATCTTCTTTAATCGGGTTCGGGTTCGGTACGGGCCTAACGGGCCGGGTTCGGGTTTGGGCTTTGGGTATGGGCTTTTTGCCCAGGCTAGTAGGCCACCATAAACCCGCTTGTAATACCTTGGAGACTGTCTTGAACATAGCTAAATGACCTCCATATGGCCCATAACAATGTTGTAAGATCCTTTCTACTTCCTCTTGTGCTACACACCTCCTATAGATTTTATCTTTGCATAGTATGTAGAGGTAAGGCTCATCCCAATTGAACCGACCCACATCTTTGTAGAACTTCTTCTTTTCATATTCAACCAAATTAGGAGGCTCTACTCCACAACTTAGATAGTTAACGAAATCCGAATACCAGTGACTCCTTTCTTCAAATTCCATTACTTTCTCTAACCGTTTCTTGTCTCGTAGCTCTCATCCATCAACAAGATTTCCATTAGTTTTTCTTCGAGGAGAGAATCATTGATTGGAACGTCATCAAAAACTCTATGGGATAGATGATCCGCTACTCCATTCTCTATCCCTTTCTTATCCTTGATCTCAAAATCAAACTCTTGGAACGATAAAATCCTTCTCAACAATCTTAGCTTAGCATTTTTCTTGGCCAAACGGTGTCTTATGTCGCATGATTCAGGTGAACAACAACCTTAGAACCAACCAAGTAGGATCTGAACTTCTCAAAAGCAAAGACTTTATAGCGAGAAGCTCTTTTTGAGTTATGGCATACTTGACTTGAGCATCATCTAAAGTTCTACTAGCATAGTAGATGACATGAAGCTTCTTATATTTTCTTTGACTAAGCACCGCTCAAACCAAATGTAGAAGCTAGAAAGTTTTATGATATGCTAGATTCTTCGAAGAGTAAGTTATATGAAGGTTGCAAGGAAGGTCTTTCTCCTTTATTTGCTGCAACTAGAATGATGAATATAAAGGCGGATTACAATTTACCTAAAGATTGTGTAGATGCTTGGACAGATTTTGTAAAAGAAATATTGTCTGAAGAAAACATCTCACCAGCTTCTTATACTGAAATTGAAAAGCTTTTTTATTGTCTTGGTTTGTCAAATCAAATGATCGATGTTTGTATCGACAATTATATGATTTACTGGCAATCAAACGCAAATTACTCAAATTACTTAGCTTGTCGGTTTTGTTGGAAGCCTTGGTTTCAAAATACTGGTGGAAGGTCTCGAGTGCCATTTAAGCATATATGGTGTTTACCAATAGCAGATCGGTTGAAGCGGTTATATCAACAACCTCGCACGGCTGGAGCTATGAGATGGCACCACGAGTTTACAAACCCTGAAGGTCAGATTGCGCATCCCTCAAACGCTAAGGCATGGAAACATTTTCAAACAATGTATCCAAGTTTTGCAGAAGAAATCGAGAACATGTACATGGGACTATGTACAGATGGTTTCAAACTTTTGGAAAGCTTGGACGACAATATTCTGTGTGGCCAGTTATTCTCACACCTTACAATCTGCCTCCATCTTTGTGCATGAAACGAGAGTTTCTATTTCTCTTTGTACTTGTTACTCATCCAGAACACCCAAAGAGATCCCAATACGTCTTCTTACAACCTTTAATTCATGAGTTACAAGTCTTGTGGGAGCACGGGGTTCAAGCTTATGATGTCTCCTGGCAACAAAATTTTACGATGCGAGCGATGCTGATGTGGAGCATTAGCGATTTTCCTACTTACGGAATGTTATCAGGATGGCAACACATGGGAGATTATCATATCCGTATTGTCAGGATAGCACTGATGCATTCCAATTAAAATATGGTCAGAAAATAAGCTGGTTTAAAAGTCATAGGCGCTTCCTCCCATCATCGCATCCATATCTCCACAACAAAAAAATATTTACAATAAATAGAGTTGTGAATGACACGCCACCGCATGAGGTAGATGGTTATGATGTTTTAACGTAAATTAAGGATTTCGGTGTATAGACAACAGACTGCGGGGGGAATGGGCATCAACGATAAAAATTAATTTGCTTCGCTCGGCTACATCTCTCTGCTTCTCTTCTATGGATCGACACCTTCTCTTGCCCAAGGTCTCGACTTGTTCTCCTAACTTCACAACAAACGACTACATCGCAGGTTTCCTCCTCTTCTCACCTTTTCTCACCCTCTAACTTTCCTCTTCTTCTTTCTATTAGCATCGCTTATCGATAAAATCTAAATTTTCTCTGCTTCTTCTTTGTATGTAACTGAAATCTGGTCCAAAATCTCTACACTCTACTTCACAAAATCGTCCAACTCAATGCATCTATAGACATGTAAAACCGGAACCAATCGAGTCAAAGGAGGTGAGAAGAGTTCTCTTATACTCCTGTACCACCTCTCCAATTATTAGTAAGTTACTATCAATTCTCTGTTTTGGTAGAACCGATAATAGGTTTTTGATTTTACTTAGGTTAAATTCTGAATTTTTTTGTGATTTTCTGGTTATTGTTCGATTGTGTATTCTGCATGTCCATGTGTGTTCAATACTGTGTATATTCTGTCATCTAAATGTGTCTTCTCTCCGTCTCACCTGTGTCAAATGTGTTATGTCTAGACCAAATTAGGAAGCGACAACCTGTGTTATGTCAATGTGTAATCGAGCAATGTTGTTATGTTATTTTATGGTATTGTATAGGTTTTATTATTTCAGAAATGTATACTCCCTCTTAATATCACTATTGTCACAATAAGTAGGTGTAAGTAGATAAGATTTATAAGTTTCCATTACATTATGTTTAACTCCTTCCTTAACTGATTTGTAACAATGATTTCCAGCCGCGTGCGCGCCAAGACTTTCTACAACACATAGCAGAGCAGCAACGTGGATATTATTTTACTAGTCCTAGCTACTCTTTGGATGACTTATCAATGATTCAGCGGCACACACGCTTTCACCCTACATCAGATAGAAGTGAAGGACTTGAATCTAATTAATCGAAGCAAACAAGCGAAGAATCTATATTTCCTATTTTAGTGGATGTGTCTGACCTTTTGCAAGCACCTGGATGGTCTCACCTCCCAGTCCTATGTCCAAACCCTAAAAAAATGATATTTGGTAAATCCTGTCTAGAATCTTACGATTAAAATATTTTATTGATTGTTAATAAAAGTGTATTGTAATTTGTTGTTCACATTGCAGGTTTAGACGTGATTCAACAGGAAAGATTACAAAGCAGATTCTAAAGATGCTTAAATCTGATCTCCCTAAACCATATCCCACTTATCGTTCCTTACCACCAGAAATAAAAAACCGATGGTTTAGAGCTTTTGCGGTTAGAAGCTTTTTCAATTCCTACAAGTTTTGAAGTCATTTATAAAGACAATTATGTATATACTAACTCATTGTTTCTTGTACATCAAGAGTTCAACTGTGACATAAGCATAAATGAGAATTTCCGAACAGAGTACATGAAGCAAAAAAGCGCTTCTTTTAAATCAAAATTGCGTAAGTGGAAGAAAACTTGGAAGAAGAAAGGTGCTGATGATTTACCGGAATGGATGAAGGTGAGGAAACGTTTTTTTGATGGTTACATCAAGATGTGGACATATGCGAAAAATGTAAAGGAAGCTGCCAAAAACTCTAAGAATCAAGGCATTCAAAGGGGTGTATTAGGTGTTGCTAAACACAACAAAGGTGCCAAAACATATGAACGACGTTGGGATGAATTGGTTAGTCACTTCTGATTTTCTGGTTAATAACCTTACAACTCTTGAATCTGGTTTTTCTGGTTTTTACTTATAAATCTTGAATCTGGTTTTTCTGGTTTTTACTTATAAATCTTGAATATGGTTTTTACTTGCAACTCTTGAATCTGGTTTTCATCCCAGTATTTCGCATACATGTTACTCATGAATCTGGTTAACATTTGGTTTTAAAACATCCTACTTAACGTTTGTGTTTGTAAAATATGCATGATAATATCGAGCTAAGTAATTAGTAACGTACACATGACCAACTCTACACTCAATTGGTTTTTAACATTTTGTTTCTAACTTATGAATCTAGTTAACAATTTTTTAACAAGTGAACACTTGCCTTCCAAAAATGTGTACTCTTTACTTGGTAATGTATGCATACAAGTAATTCTTCTGGTTTTTAACAATTGGTTTCTAACTCATGAATTTGGTTAACGTTTTGTTTTTATGCATACTAGTTGTTATGAAGATTTCTTTAACTAGTTAACACTTGTCAACTAATATTTTTGTAGTTTAATATTTTCAGTGAACAAGATTGACTAATCAATCGCCTATTGTTTTGTATGTCATGTGTTAAACAAGTGAGTTAGGAGAGAAGCCTAATGTCATTCACTTCATGGAACAAACCCATTTAGAGAAGAAGACACACACAATAAGTGACTTGAAAACAAAACAATATATCGAGAATGCTACAAGTGTATTAGACCTCTTCCAATCGCAACGGCAAACCGAAGGAGATGACTCGGTTCAGTCTAACCGTCTTACACCTGAGGAGATTAACTCTATCATGCATATAGTACGTAGGAATTCTCTTCCTTGTTTAAGCTTTGCTTTTACAAACATTTAATAACGATGATGACTTTCGATTTTATTTCACAGGTTGTTCCAAAGGTTAGAGGAAGACGCTATGGCCTTGGTACTGTTTGGATGAAGGATGCTCGTCTTCCTCAGGAACTCCGCGCCAAATTCCTAAGTTACTAGAAGAGATTCAAACGTCGAAGGCACGTGAAGTAGAGAAAGACGCTCAGATCAAGTATCTCATGGAATGCAACAAGCTTCTCCTCGGATGGTTTCCTGATTTGCGACCACCTATTTATCCGGA